GAGAATCAGCAAATTCTTTGGAAAGGAGCTGAGCACCACACTGAATGCTGACGAAGCTGTGGCCAGAGGATGTGCCCTGCAGGTATGCTATGCTGCAATCTTAAAACCAGGAAATGACTCGGCACTTCCGCTTCTCTCATCTCAAAGTTGAAGGGGTTTATGATTAATTCCCTTACATAAGGTCTGTGATTAATACAAACATTTAGCGATCTAAACATTTTGTTCTATGTCATAAGATACGGCAGTAATCAACCAAAGCAGGATTTCTTTAAGGGGTCTTTAAAAAGGTGGCTAAATGAAACTAAAGAGGATATCAAAACCTTTATTGCAAAAGAGCTTATTTTCTCTTAGAATCTAATGTAATCACTCTCTGAAAAGGGAAGAAAACCACATTTAGTGCTTGAATGAGCATCTGTTTATGTAAAAGGACAGATTTGAGTTTTCAGGTTAAACATTTTCATTATGACTGCAGCTCTTATTGAAACCCTGGTTCTCTCCACAGTGTGCCATTCTGTCACCTGCCTTCAAAGTGCGTGAGTTCTCCATCACAGACGTGGTTACCTATCCCATCTCCTTGAAGTGGCACTCTGCTGCAGAGGAAGGTCTAAGGTATAAAGAAAAATATGACATCTATTACTTTTTTGTCTCTAGCCTTAATGATCAATGTACTCATTATTATGAAATGTTTGTTTGTTACAGTGATTGCGAGGTATTCCCTATGAACCACGCAGCCCCTTTCTCCAAAGTGCTCACCTTCTACCGGAAAGAGCCTTTTACCTTGGAGGCTTACTACAACGCTGCTAATGGTCTTCCCTACCCGGACCCCACTATTGGTAAGCAGCTAAAGCTTCCTAAGTGATGCCTGGCTACAAGGGGATAGCAGGACTCTAAATAATGTCATATTTCTGTATACCTGACAAGTGGACCTGAATTATTTTAGCGCTAGTTATTCCACAAACTGTTGAGAACATATTTGTGTTGTTACTGACCTTGCCTCCCAAGACTACCAAGATCAAAAGAGGGCTTAAAGCTGTTTTGCACGACTATTTTTTGTTTATTTATTATTCTGTTTTTTCTCTTCCTTCCAGGTAAGTTCCTGATCCAAAAGGTTGTGCCACAGGCTTCTGGGGAGAGCTCCAAGGTGAAAGTCAAAGTGCGTGTGAACATCCATGGCATCTTCAGTGTCTCCAGCGCCTCCCTGGTTGAAGTGATGAAGTGTGAGGAGGGGGAGGAACCCATGGACACCGAACTGGCCACTGAGAAAGATGGAGAGGTAAAAAAAAAAAAAAAAAATCTCCTTTTACATCCAGCTTCAGATAAGTTTGTGAACTTCTATTTGTGCTTGAGTTTTGAGACAAAACCAACATATGTCTGTTGTTTTGACTCCTCAGCAGAACAAGATGCAGACGGAGGAAGAGGAGCAGAAGGGAGACGGTCAGAAAGAAGCAGAAGAGAAGACGCCACGTGAGAACGAGGAGATGGAGGTAATATGTGACATTTTTTCTGACAAGCAAGATCTGTTCTGTATATTGTCTTTTACCTGTAGAAAACAATTTAATACAATTGCTCACAATACATTCAGTTTGAGAACATATAATTAATCATTGTCATGAATATAACTGGGGTTAGACATTTGAAACACAATATGTTACAATATAATGCAATTACAACGTTTCAATGAATGACACATTGTAAACAAAAATGTAACTTTGATTTAATTGTTTTTAATCTCAATGCCTTTTCTCTTTTTCTTATCAGATCACCCCAGAGGAAGGCAAAGGCGAGAAGAAGGCCGACCAGCCCCCACAAGCCAAAAAGCCCAAAGTCAAAACAAAAGTTCTTGATCTTCCGATTGAAAACAATCCACAGTGGCAGCTCGCTGATGACATGCTCAATCTTTTTGTTGAAAATGAGGTAACTAGACGTTCATTCATCCCATACACGGTGCACATTACTTAATCCACCCATCCTTAATTACTTGATCTATTTTGAAGTAGTACGCGGTTACAGTTGCTGTTTGGATTCTCCTCAGGGTAAGATGATCATGCAGGACAAGCTGGAGAAGGAGAGGAATGATGCCAAGAACTATGTGGAGGAGTATGTGTACGAGATGAGGGACAAATTACACGGGGTGCTGGAGAAGTTTGTCAGTGAATCTGTGAGTAAAAAGTCGCCTCCTGGCTGATCTTAAAGTGTTCATCTTTATATACATTTCTTACAGATTGTGCTTCCTTTGTTAATATAATACATTTATTTGTAGGACCGAGATGCCCTGTCAATAAAGCTGGAGAATACTGAAAACTGGCTGTATGAAGATGGAGAGGACCAATCCAAACAAGTGTACATTGACAAACTGACTGAGTTAAAGGTAATGATTGCTATAATTGAGCATTTTATAATAATAATAATAATAATAATAATAATAATAATAATAATAATAGCTCCATTGTGTGTTTGACATTTTGAATTCTTTACCTGACATGTATACTGTGTTTGCTATAGAAACTTGGCCAGCCCATCCAGGAGAGGTACACAGAGGCTGAAGTGAGACCTAAAGCATTCGAGGAACTGGGAAAACAAATCCAGCAGTACATGAAATTTGTGGAAGCCTGCAAAATGAAGGTCATTCTACGAGCTTTTTAAATGAGGATGCTGGTAGTTTATTAAAATAAAAGTAATGATTCCTGCGGTAAATAGTAACACAGCTTTTATTATTTCCCTTTGGATTTCCAGGAAGAGCAGTATGACCATATAGATGATGCAAATGTCACGAAGGTGGACAAAATGGCCAGCGAGGCAATGATGTGGATGAATAGCTCCATGAACCAGCAAAGCAAACAAAACCTGACAATGGATCCCGCCGTCAAAGTAAAAGACATTCAAGCTAAAATAAGGGTGAGTGTCTCCTCCATCATAACACCACAGTGCTAAGAAACATGGCTGAGTAGAATGCAGGACATTAAAATAAGAAAATAAAACATCTAATCGAAATACCTGGTGATTAATTGACTAGCTGGGAAGTAATCTGTTTAATGTTTGCAGATCCATTTGGTTGTTTATTACTCCGTCATGCTCATGTTGTTACAGAAATCTACCACTTTTTCATCACATATATAAACATTGCAAAATAACCCAACACATGAATTATTCTTGTGCCCTTTTTATTATGAAATGGACCAGGACCTCACAACTTCTTCTTTTAATAAACCCATTGTAACATATTTCCTTTTTGTGTAATTTCCAGGAGCTCTTCTCCACTTGTAACCCCATTGTGACCAAGCCCAAGCCCAAGGTAGAGCTTGCCAAGGACGAGACTCCAGCAGAGGAGAACGGGCCTGTCAACGGACAGGAGAAACCCCAGGATGCACCCGCAGACAAGGGAAAAGCTGAGAACACAGGCACCTCAGAATCCACAGAAAACAAGCCTGAAATGGACCTTGATTAAAGCAGCGTAACGCCCTCTTAAGCAAAGCTGCACGGGAGCTGGCTGTTTCAGATTGAGATGCAGCCTGGGTGTATATCAGAGCAGGTAAAGTGTTTCAGGAATTGCACTCCACAGTCAAAAGCAGGCAGGGTGATTAGCACACTGAGCCCAGCTACTGGTGGTATCTCTGTCCGATGACATAGCATGCCCTCTCTCTATCTGGAAGACATAAATCATAAGCCAGCCGCAATAAGCCTGTTTGACAATGAGCGCTGTACACATAATGGTATTTATTTCTGTTGTGTGCCCTGTAAGTGTTCTGGTCTGTGTCACAATATGGTTTTAATAAAGTTATTGAAAATCACTTGCACTATCTTTATTACGGTCAAAGATACCCAAGGCTTCACAAAGGCCCAGCTAGCATTAAACACAGCTCATGTCCTTGGTCACATTTAACATGGTTGAACAGTACCTCAATAACAGAAACCCCCTCAGTGCCATAACATTATACATATGTTATGTGTGTGCATGTATAAAAGGGTAGTATGTAAATGTGTTTATATATGAATAACTGAGCAGAGTGTGAAGAGAGAAACAAATGGTCCAATATTATTATTGTTAATTATTTTTTCATTTAATTATAGTTTTTTGACTTAACACCTTACAATTGTATTTTTAGGCAAACAGCTGGGTCTGAACTTGTATTTGAAGACATGTAGCCTAAACAATGTATCTATTGGTAACTAAAATAAATATATGTAAACAGTTACATTTCTTGCTGGTGTAAAATATGAGACCCATAAGGTGAGGAAGTAGCGAAAACCTGGAAATGTCGGCCAAATGCAACGTCTTTTCTCTCATGTTCGCAAACACGTACATGTTTTTTTGCTGTTTTCGGTTAAAACCTGCTTTCATAACACATTTATGTAAGCAGCTTTGACGTAAGACTGCAGTGTATTTAAAAACCTGTAAACTGAGCCGTGTAGGCATGTTGGCTTTAATGTCTCATATCAAATGATATACGTCGCTAGCTAACTGGCTAACATTGGCTGATGTTCCTTGAACGTATGAAGCCCAAATGGGGCGACTGTAGATTCAGAAAGTACCCGGATCATCCGGAACCTTTTACCTGTGGCGCGTTTCCACTACACGGCCTCGCTCGGCCCCGCTCGGTATGGCTGGGCCGCGATTGGCCTCGTTAGGACCAGCTCACTTTTTACAGAGCATGCACACCATGATGCACACTTGAGTTTTTCCTTAAGCCCCGCCTCCGATCTCCCCTCTCGGCTCACTCAAATGAGAGAGAATATCTCTAGATTCAGCTTTTTGTGCATTTTACTACTTTTAAACCCTAATTATTTAAATAAGGGCCATAGAAGTGTTCCTGCTGAGTAGTTTATTAATCTAAAAAAAAAAAAATGATAGGCCTACGCAGATTTACAGACGCCTCTTTCCCAATGTAAGTCATGGGGAAATAGTCTTTTTGGACCAAAATGACGTCACATACGCTGTAGTACCACCGTTTGGCCACTACGACCATTCCGAAAATGAGCTTCACCGGCCCGCTCTCTTCCTGGGGGTTGGGTTGAGAGCTGCTGGTGTGCGTCCAACATCAAGAGAAATCACATGACTCCCAGGTCCTGTCTGTGTCTTCTAGTCAGCTGCAAGTAAAAGCGACAAATACACTGCCAGGTAAAGTCTATACGTTTACTATTGTCATTGTGTTTTAAATACGACAATTATACAATAGTTAGGATTCAATGCAAGTGTTTGGCATAAAGTTAACTTTTTTGCAGCTTGTGCAATACAAAAATAATCTTAACGGTCGCGGCATGATGAGTCTAAAGTCTGATTAAGGTGTGTTTTGTCCTGATTTACTTCGAGGCTGAGCTCTTTTACACAAGCAACCCCTTTATTCTTTTCGAGTTTAGTTTCTCCAGGACGATGAAGCTGATCATCCTCAATGACTACGACCAGGCGAGCGAGTGGGCTGCAAAGTACATTAGAAACAAGATTTTAATGTTCGAACCTGGCCCCGATAGATACTTCACTCTGGGGCTTCCCACAGGTGAGTAAGAACTGCCAACTCCATAAATATGTGTTCATTTGTTTCAGATTTGAGTGCTTGAGAGACAGTGTCATAGGGTTTTAAGGAGTGTTAATCGATCAATAGATAACATTTTAGGACATTATATTTCTTAATTCCTCTGTAACAAAGTTAGGAGAGAAACGGAAAAAAAAAATGCCTGTATAAGTATAGTACTTTCAAGTCTTTTACTTTTGCTTTGTAACCTATTGCCTTCCTTCAGGGGGTACCCCTCTGGGTTGTTACAAGAAACTGATCGAGTACTACAAAACTGGAGAAATCTCCTTCCAGTATGTAAAAACGTTCAATATGGATGAATATGTAGGTAAGTGTACATCAGTCTTTCTACCCAAATTAAATGTGTACACATTGAGGAACTACTGAAATCTTTGATTCTGCAAAATAAACTGTCATAAAATCCTGTATAGGTATTCCTAGAGATCACCCGGAGAGCTACCACTCCTTTATGTGGAATAACTTCTTCAAGCACATAGACATAAAAGCAGAGAACACCCACATCCTGGACGGCAACGTTGCGGACCTGCAAACAGAGTGTGAAGCCTTTGAGGAAAAGATTACAGCTGCTGGGGGGATCGAGCTCTTTGTCGGAGGTCAGGAGGTCACAGTGCTGTTAATGAACATACTATAACTACACATTTCAGATTTATGCTCAATCCCATTTCCTACTCTTCCTGTCCTGTCAGGTATTGGACCAGATGGCCACATTGCCTTCAACGAGCCTGGCTCCAGTCTGGTTTCCAGGACTAGGGTGAAGACCCTGGCAAAAGACACGATCGTGGCTAATGCCCGGTTCTTTGATGGGGATCTCTCAAAGGTGCCTACAATGGCACTGACTGTGGGAGTGGGCACTGTCATGGACGCAAAAGAGGTTAGAAGCCTGGATGAATGTTAACCATCTGTCCTTTATGTGTTGTATGTATTTAGCTTCTGTTTTATGCTTTATGTTTCAGCAAAATCTCGAATAAACCAGAATTCTTAGCTGCAGTGCATTGCTCAAAAGTCTTGATATCCTGATGCACCAAAAAAAAACAATTGCAAGTTGCCTTCGCTCAGTAACAGGTCCCGTTTTCGATTTATTTTCAGGTCATGATTCTCATCACCGGGGCGCACAAGGCATTTGCTTTATACAAAGCTATAGAGGAGGGTGTGAATCACATGTGGACAGTGTCTGCGTTCCAGCAGCACCCACAGACTGTTTTTGTATGTGATGAAGACGCAACCCTGGAACTACGGGTCAAAACTGTAAAGTACTTCAAAGGTGAGACTAAATCACAAAAGGCTACAGCGCTTAAACCACTATATTTCACATTGAATAGTTAACCAACTACGTTGCATTAAGCATACATATTTACAAAACAAGCATGATTCACAGAAAACATGCTGATTCTTGTTCTTTCTTTAGGGATGATGCACGTGCACAACAAGCTGGTGGAGCGACCTCCCTCAGTGCCAAAGAAGAACTGAAGAGATCCTGCCCAAACTTTGTGGATTCATAAGGCATTTTTTCCAATGTAACACTCCAATGATTCTTTATATCTTCTGGCGAAGATACATTGGTGAACATCCAGCAGTGCTTGGAGTTTACCTCAACTAATCTTTGTATGAATAATCAGGTGCTATTCAAATTTGTATGTGATTCCTAAACAGGTTTGCTTCTCATTTATTTTTAATAAAGTGTATTTCTTTGTATCTTTGTGTTAAGTACACCCCATATATTTAGGTTTTTCTATTTTGTTATAACATCCTTCTCCTATACATTTCTTTAGGCACACACTATAGTGTTCTTTATCCATCATGCACACAAATAACAGCGAGCAGTCATTGGCAATGAAACCTTGGGTCTAACAGTCCCTTCAACAATGCTTATTAAATATGTATAAAAATAGAATATAACAACCCGAGAATCTAAGACATGACAGTAGAAGTGTATATATATAGGGCTAAATATGTACATAAATACAATATAAAAGAATACACATTTTTGGTTAACAGTATTTTAGATAGATCAACTGAATGTAGACAGCAATGATTTCAATAAATAGGCCAACTGTGATATAATATATATATTTTATACAGACTGCAGTGGTGGAAAAAGTATTAAGATTATTTACTTAAAAGTACTAATACCACACTGTAAAAATACTCAATTTCAAGTAAAAGTACTACATAGAGAATGTTACTTAATAAAAGTATTAAGTACGATTGGGAAATATACTTAAAGTACTTGGAGTAAAAGTACTCATTGCAGTAAAAACAAATAAAGCAAAAGCAGAAAATCATCACATTTTTTTAAGTCTGGAACTGTAAAACATTTTAACCAAAACAATCTTAAATCATATCTATTTTCTGTAAAACCACTTATGGTTTAAGTTAATTAAATATAATGTTGGATGGTTTAATCTATGGCAAATAATCATATTTGAAAGGTTTTCCCAAAATGTTGTGTCAACATTTTATTTATTTATTTTTCTAACTAGTAAGTAAACATAAAAAACATCTAAGAAAATAAGTTGTAAGAGTATAGGTAAAACATATAACGATAATAAATAGAAACTATTTAGCATTACAAAATAAATGAAGTCAAGTATTTACATCACATTTCAATTTAAATATACAAAGAACCGAACAAACTTATGACAATGGATATATGACTAGAATTACAGCACTTTAGTAAACGTTCTTAGTTAACTTTCCACCAATCCTGACTGTAGTTCACAGTGTTGTATTCAACTATAACTTGTTCATGCACAACACCTTGTAATGGAACATTCCGACAGCCCCTGAAGGCAGCGCCGTGCCGCGGTGAGGAGCAGCGCGAGGAGGAGAAGGAAGGAGATGGCCGACTAAAGCCAACGTTACGTCTGCTACTCCGTTGACGAGATTTCTTATTAGCAACACATCTGCACAGTTGGAGTGGAAAGAGGACGTGTTAAATCTTTCGCTCCTCTCCCACAATGGCAGAACAAAACAGCAACGTCAGATACCAAGAGGTATGTAGCAGTCTGCTGGCACGATAACATGTAGTTAGCTAACGGGTAAAGCGTTAGCACAGCGAAGCTAACAGCAGTCAACATTAGCCTGCTGCTGTCACTGATAGGAAAACAACCAGCTCACATTGGTTTACGGGTGAGCCTTAGCCAGTGACAATAACACATCGTATGTCAAACGTCAATATGTCTCACCATGTAATGAGCTATAATCATAAATTAGTCTCATGTAATTGTAAGCCTATGTGACCCATTTTGATTTAGCAGCTTAGTAAATGAGCATCGTTAGCTAGTGTTGGCCTGTCAGAGCAGGAATGCAGCGCAGTGTGACTTGGTCGACCATTGAACCAAAACGAGAGGTAGAAGAAATACTCCGATCGTGTACTTCATTAAAAGTAGAAATACCAGATTGTAGGAATACTCGATTACAAGTAAAACTCCTGTATTCAAAATGTTATTCGAGTAGAAGTACACAAGTATTAGCATCAAAATATACTTAGTACCAAAAGAAAAACATACCAATTATGCAGATTGGCCCATTTTACAATCGTATATGTTTTGATTATAATTATTGATGTGTTTATCAAGCTGTCAAAGGTGGAGCTAGTTTTAATTACTTTATTTCCTGCTGGGTAGCTGTTTAATTCAATCCAGGTTTAACCAAAGTCCTGTTTAAGTGTTGATCATATTGTTTATCATTTATCTATATGCAAAGTAACTGAAGGTACACCATACATGTAGTGGAGTAAAAGTACAATATTTACCGCTGAATTGTAGTGGAGTTGAAACAACATAAAATGGAAATACTCAGGTAAAGTACCTCAACATTGTATTCAAGTACAATACTTGAGTAAATGTACTTAGTAACTTTACACCACTGACACAAACGGTCATACTACCTGACTGCTGGATGATCAGTAACATTAAGTCCTGTTACAGAACATGAGCTCATTTATTGACATCAATGCAGGTGATGTGTGAGATCATAAGGGCACAGTTCATAGTTTAATTGGGGTATGTTGTTATAAAGGTGCACTAGACTCAGGTTATTGTGTGATTAATACTGCTGGAGTAGTGCTTCAACTGAGCTAACCCTTGCTATCAGCAGATACATTTATTATGACCACTTGTTGCACAGTATATTAATCTAGTGCACCATTCTTTGTTCTTTTCTGAGGAAATGTCCCAATTTTCTCTTAAGCATCTCCAGTGCATCTGGCTTCACTCTACTTTTGAGGTGGAGCAGGCATTAGGGCTCAAATCTTATGGTATCTTTACATTGCAAATGTAAATATAGTATATATATATATATATATATAGGCCACTGGATATCCCACTCTCCCATTGGTGTTGTCTGTTTGTCACATATTTTAATGTAAGGATGTTCCTCACATTGATGTTTAATTGCAATAGTTCACAAGTAGTCCTACTCATTGACTTACAACTTTGTCTGAATGTAATACAAAATGCAATGAGAAATCTTGCAGTGATAATTACCACAGTATTATCCATTATGTCCCAATATATATTCTGTATGAATATATTCATTAATAGGAGCCAACAACTGGAGGTTTCCTAGATATTGTGATTTAAGTTTGATCCTGGTTGTGTTGTCATTCCTCCAGCTGGTGAATGAGGACGAACCGGCCCAGCCTTCCCAAGAGGGGGCTGCCCAGGATGCCCCCCCACCCTACAGCAGCATTGCTGCAGCAAATGCAGGTTAGGAACTTTCCCAGCTCCATTAAACACTGCTACAAAACTCAGAACACACACACGTTAGAAGTGGGAGTTGTATTGAAATCCTTTTATACCACAGCCACAACCACAGCAAGTTGTGCATCAAAATGCAACGAGAAAGGCAATCCTGAAGAGTAGTTTCACATTAATCTCACAAAGAAGAGTCGAGTGCCCTGCATTTAGCAGAACAATGTCACATCCTTTATTACAGCCTCAACCTGTATGGAATATATTTGAAGATGTTTCAACAACTGCAGACACTGCTGACTACTTTAAATGCTATCAGTGCCTCAGATGTTATCTGCTCATCATGTGTGACACATTATTGTGCAAAGAGAAAGCAGCTATCTATTAAATAATCAAAAAAGGTTAAATAAATATACATTATTTCCCACAGAGATCTCAAGTAAACCATTCTGCCTCATAGCAGAATAAATGTACGTTCTTTTCATTATCCTGCTGTAGCTTGTCTTGCATTGTTAGCCTTGCTCTGAATAATGCATACGGGGAGTATCTCGTGTGCAAAGCCTTTTAGAAAGATCTGATGTTTGTAATCTCGCCTCTTAAGAGGGCAAAGGTCACGTGGTTGCATACGTGGGTGTAGCTTTGAGTGGTTCTCCTGTGAGTTTATTGATCTGGTTCAGTGCTGTTTGTGTTTGAAACACACAAAGAGCATTCTGGATGTCTGCCAAACGACCCAGATAAAAGTCTTGGCTCGTATGGGACAGAACCTAAACAGTAATGCACACAGATAGTACTAATGTCTTTCTTCCTGCTGTAACTCATCCCTCCCGGGTCTGCTCTTATAATTCTCTGCTGCTGCTTTTCTCTCTGAAGGAAGTGAAAGTAGATGTTTGTCTGTCAGCTGCGTTACAGCTGGTATATCAGTCAGCATGGAAAAATGTCACTTCTGCAGTTAACATCAATATCAGAGTGTTGTTAGACAATGACTTCATAATTTGTGATTGTGTTCTTTTATTTGTGTCTGTCTATTAGTGGAGATAACAGATATATATACTAGTGTTTTATTCTGCTTATAAATATGTGTGGGAATTTTACATTTAATGGCAACTCATCTTTTATCACTTAACACTCTATGTGTGGAGCTTAATACTGTTATGTTAAAAAAAAAAACATATATATATTCTCTCAATCTAGCTTTTTTTGAGGGTGATGAAACACTTAAAATTGCACAATCACTGGGTTGCAAAATGGAGTTTGTTGGATGAATTTGCCAACTTACCACCACATATATAAATATTCATGGTACATGATCAGTCGATAACATATCTAACTCGTATCTATACCAATAAGGTTAAACACCTTTAAAACTGCAATGACAAGCAGTATTTTCTTTAGTTTTAAAGTGTAGTTAGTGATTTTATCTTAAACATTAGCCCAACCTACGTAAAATAATCCCTAAAGACCCCGCAATAATATATTTTTACAAAGTCAACTTCATTGCGAGTTTATTCTGATAGGAGACCTCTGCACCTGGATGAAACCCATCTGCTTGTTACCTCCACAGCTTTCTTTGAATACAAGGAAGATGGCAGCAGATTTCCAAACCCCCCCTCCTACAGTGTAGCCACCACCCTGCCCTCCTATGATGAAGCTGAGAGGAGCAAAGAGGAGGCCGCCATCCCCCTGGTCCCTGGCAGAGTCACGGTATACTGATCTCACATTTAGAAGTTCAGACTTATTCCTTGTGGAGTATTAATACAAACAAAACAGATAGGCGGTAAAGTGTTTGTAATATTTCTACACGTTTCTTGTTTCTCAGGAGGACGACTTTGTGGCCAGGGATGACTTTGAAGACGCTGACCAGCTGCGAATAGGAAACGACGGCATCTTCATGCTCACCTTCTTTAGTAAGAACTCTTTAACAGTTGACGTGCATTCAGTTTCCCTTTTTTATTAGAGCCAACTTATAACCAGATGGTATTAAGTTATTCATATATTTCC